TGTAAATGTCAGGAGGTTTGGCATTGGGAGAGGCTTGGAAGAGCCGAGGGTTTAAAGCTGAGCTTCGTCCAGAGCTCTTCCATGCCCACAGGGAGCAGGGTCCAGGGATGGGAGAGCATCCCTTGTGAGGAGCTGGGCTTATTCCTCCAGGCAGCACAGCCAAGCATCAGCTATTGCCAAAATCCAGCATAGAAATAAACGATAAAATCAAAATAACCCCCCCAATATTTAGCCCATGTGGTGCAAAAAAGTTGTCTAGGAAAATATCTTGGATATTCTTTCCATCCCTTGCTCTCACACCTTCCCTATTAATTAGTGCCAGATAATTTGTTCCCTGTTATCAAAGCCAGTTTGCCACAGAGAATAAAAAAAACAACAAACTCTCATTTCATCTCATACGGAGAGGGACTAGGTTTGTGCTCCCCCCCCTTGCCCACCAGCTCCAGGGAAGGGCTTGGGAGATGCTCCCTCTCCGGCAGAAATACTCCAAGTTCCTCTGCTGAGAGGCACCTTCAACAAATTAATTCCCTTTTTGTGGTTCTGCCAAGGTCAAGCTTAATTCCTAATGTTCTTCACCGTTCTCCTTGGTCTGCCTGGCACGTCACAGCAGGGACATAAATCACGGCCAGGCGGCCCCGGTGGCATCGCCAGTGGCCATCGAGGTGGCTCCTGTAAAGCTGAAGTCGCTCTGGCATCCACACCACGACAAGAGAGGGGCCAAAACTCAGCTGGAAACACCTGAGGGAGCAAATCCCAGGCTCTTTATGCAGACTCTGAGTGCCACGTTTGGGCTGTTAACTGAGAACCAGGGAATCTTAGCAAAGCTGCACCAACTCCTCCCCCACACACCAAGGCAGAGGGAGCTCAAAGTGCGGGCAAACCCCAGCCCCCAACCTCCTCTCCTGCCCTTCAGACCAGAAAACCTCGCTCCCATCTCCCAAACAGCATTCCCAACCAACAGGAGCCCCCGGTGTGCCCGCAGGAGCCTCACCCAGTCTGTTGATCCCCCCACTTCCATTATGGACTCGATGAGAACTTGGAGCCTCGGATCAATAAGCATTAAAATCCCCTTTGTTTTTTCCCCAGGAGCAACACCCAGAATCCTAAAACATGGTAATTCCTGCAATCCACCACCTTTGTGGGTATTAGAAAAGGGTTAGAGTTTATCCTCTGAAGGACCTCTGGGTGGCTGAGGCTTTACCTCTAATCCCAGGCCGGGACCAGAAGCCCCAAAGAGCTGAGACAAGCTTAGCCAGGCCTGGCTTTGTCTCACTGAACACCAACAAACCCAGCTGGTTATTTCCCTGTGAGCAGCAAACAGGGTGTTTTTTCAGTCCTTTCATTTCCACCGAGCCGAGGACTTTGATGCTGTTCCGCTCCACCCGCTCAGCAGCGCTCAAAGCACCAAGGCTCGCACTCCTCTTGCTCAAGACTAATTAAGATGAATGTTAACTGTCCCCACCGCTCATTACCCAAGAGAAAATCTATTAGTGGCTCTGATGGAAGCGTTCCTTGGAGTCACCACCTCCCAGTGCTGAAAAATGCTGGATTTCTGCCTTTGCTGGCGACCCAGACTGTCGTGTTCAGACACAGATCGAGAACCACAGACTCGTTTGGGCTGGGAGGGATCCTGAAGGTTGGAAGGGACCTCATCTCATTCCACTCCCTGCCATGGGCAGGGACACCTTCAGGTTGCTCCCAGCTCTATCCAGTCTGGCCTTGGGCACTTCCAGGGATCCAGGGGCAGCCACAGCTTCTCTGGGCAACCTGGGCCAGGTCCACAGTTCCTTCCCAATATCCCATCTAACCCTGACCTCTGGCAGTGGGAAGCCATTCCCTGTGTCCTGTCCCTCCACCCCTTGTCCCCAGTCCCTCTCCAGCTCTCCTGGAGCCCCTTTAGGCCCTGCAAGGGGCTCTCAGGTCTCCCTGGAGCCTTCTCTTCTCCATCACACCCTCAGTAAATCTGCTACCTCAGTTTCCCCCGCCAGCTTTTCCCCCCTGGGATATGTCAGCTTTGGAAGGGGAGATTTCTTTCTGCTAATCAGACAATCCTTGAATATCACAAGCAATCAGGAAGGAAAACGTGGGGATGCGAAAAAAGCAAAAATAAACCCGTCTATAAATAACCCCCTTCCGGCAGCGCCGGGTGGCTCGACGTGGTGAAGCCCCTTCCAGGGACAGGCAGCTGCTCCCAGTGTGCCGGCAGGAAAACACAGATTTCTTTCACAGCTCCAAGAAATCGGGTTTGGTGGAAAATAAAACGGCCTCCAGCGACCACCTCTGGGCACCCAGAAGAAAAACGGGGCTGCACAGCCCTGGTCCTGCCCTGGGGAGGAGCACAGGGAGGAGTGGGTGAGGAATTCCAGACATTCTGGATTTGTGTCTGGGCAGCTGGGAATGGTTTTCCCCCACTCCAGGCAAAGCCTTGTTTAAAGTTATTCCCATAAAAAGCCACGGGGAGAACTTGAGTCCCTTTGGAAAATTCCTGTTTGAAGAGTGATGCTCTGCACTGCTTGGGGTCACTGGTCTCCCTCCCCACCCTGTGCCACATCCTGGGCCATTCCCAACATCCTGAATCATTCCCAGGATCCTTGACCATTCCCAATCCAGTGTCCAAGGCCAGGCTGGACAGGGCTTGGAGCAACCTGGGCTAGTGGGAGGTGTCCCATGGCAGGGGGTGGCACTGGATGAACTCTAAGGTCCCTTCCAACCCAAACTGTTCCATAATCCTACAATCCCTGTGCTGTCACCCTGGAAAATGGGAATGATGAGACTGAGAGCTCCGAGGTGCCTCCTGGGGAATCACCAGCCCCATGGGAAGCTTCAAAGTGGGAAAATTGTGTCCAGAAATCAGCCCTGGGCTAAGGAATACACACTCATGCAGTCCTGGGCTTCCCAAAAGTTCTCTAAGACTGAGTTGAATCCCCTCCCAGCATCTCCTTTGGTTTTCCTGCATCCTCTGTGCCAACCAGCACAGGGACAACTTCCACTAGCCCAGGTTGCTCCAACCTGGCCTTGGACACTTCCAGGGATCCAGGGGCAGCCACAGCTTCTCAGGGCAACCTGTGCCAGGGCCTGCCCACCCTCACAGCCAGGAATTCCTGCCCAACATCCCACCTAATCTACTCATCCTTCATCTATTCTCTCTCTCTCTGCTTCAGCTTTTGAAGGATGTGGATCAAAACGGGTTGTTGGTTGTAGGCAAAGCCCAAGTGACGCCCGGAGATGCTCCGAGCTTGGGTTATATTTCGGGCAATTCAATCAAATTGTACTTTGACCTTAAAAAAAAAGGACCAAGTGCAGCTGGGAAGAGAAACAAGGCAAAAAGCCCTTCCCTGCCCTCATATTAATCCATCAGGCTGCTGCAGAGCACGGATTTGTTTTGTCAAACTGTCAGCAGTGGCACCTTTATGGTTTTTTTATAAAGAGGCATTAGAATAGGAAACACCGTGTGGCTTAAAAAAAAAACATAACTAAAGGAATATATTGGGTTTGATATTGAATAGCACTGAAAAGCTGAGCAAACAGGGGCTGCAAAGGGATGGTGGGGAGCGGGCTGGAGACGCTGCGTTTTCCTCTGGGAACAGGGTGTAACACATGGATGGGGCCTCTGACTCATCCATCAATACATGTGTTTGCACACTTTTCCAAAAGCTTTTTGGCCCGAAGCTGGTTAATAGATGGAGATCTGAAACGCTGCTGAATTTTCCCAGATGGCTAATTTTTGGTCCGGAATAAAAGGCATCATTTTCCCAGTCCCCAGCTGGGGAGAGCCAGCCCCGCTTTGGAGTCACTCCGTCTGCCGAGGATGGAACTCCTGAGACAAACACGGTCCGTGAACCCACCGGGGCAAGGAGTGGACCAAGGTGACACAAATTTGGGATGGAATCCTTTGCTGTTGAACGAGGAGCAGAGTAAAGTTCCTCCCACCTCACCCCAAGCCCTGCAGAGCTGGGATCAGGGGGCTGGGAGGTGCCACTTCCAAGGGAACGTTCGGAAAGGATGATGCAATATTTCATCACTGATGGCTGTTGGAAGCGTTGCCATTTCACTGCTCTTTGAAACGCTGCCAGGAGGAAAATTCAGCCTCACCTTGGGGAAACTTCTCAAAGAGAGAGAGAGTCACCCGGGGTGGGAGGTGAAGCGGCACCGTGGCGGAAAACATGGGGTGGGGGCGAAGGAAATAACGGAATTCTCGGGGATAAATGTGTTTCACATGACAACAGCTGCTCCAGGAGCTGCTGCAGCCTCTTTGCCTCAAGGCCAGCTGGGATTTTGTGGTTGCCCACCCGTGGAAGGAGCACAACGGGAAGTTCCACGCTCCACTTCCCACCGGGCTCGTGGGTGATGGCAGGCATGTGGGAATTCTTTGAGACTAAGGAAGCTCTGGAATTGTTACATGGTTTGGGAGACCCTCAAATCCCAGTTGGCCCCCCATCAAGATGCAAGAAGCCTTCCAGTCTTCCACTGCCTAAAGGGGCCCCAGGAGAGCTGGAGAGGAACTTGGGACATGGGATGCAGGGACAGGACACAGGGAACGGCTTCCCACTGCCAGAGGGCAGGGATAGAGGGGAGACTGGGAAGGAATTGTTGGCTGTGAGGGTGGGGAGGCCCTGGCACAGGTTGCCCAGAGAAGCTGTGACTGCCCCTGGATCCCTGGAAGTGTCCAAGGCCAGGCTGGAGCAACCTGGGCTGGTGGAAGGTGTCCCACGGCAGAGAGTGGAGCGGGATGAGCTTTAAGATCCCTTCCCACCCAAACCATTCCAGGATTCTACGATTATTCCTGTCCCTGGATAACACAAACCACTCCTGTCTCGAGCTGCACTTGCACAAGAGATGAAGGTGCCGGGGCACACCGTGGTGGGTTTGCTCTCTGCTCCACGGCACGTGGAGAGCACCCCTCTGTGGGGGCAGCTCACACCACCCCACACCAACCCCTGACCGCAGGAAGGTGCCCTGGAGATCAAAACCAGACCCCAGCCCGGCGCCGGGGCCCGTACCTGGTGATGATGGCGAGGTGGGGCGGGCTCATGCAGGCTCCCATGAAGAGCACCACGTTCTCGTGCCGCGTCTGCCGATAGGCCATCACCTCCCTCTTGAAGGCCTTCAGCTGGTCCTCGTTGTCCCTCTCGATGTCGATGAGGCGGATGGCCACCTCGCCGTGCCAGCGCCCGTGGAAGACCTGCCCGAAGCGGCCCTTCCCGATGAGCTCCCCGATCTCCAGCTGCTCGAAGGGGATGTCCCACTCCTGCAGGAAGATGCTGGTCTGGCTGGCCTTGCGCGGGAAGTTGCGGGCGGAGAGGAGCGACAGGTTCATCTCCTCGAAGTCGTCCTCGGACTCCTGAGCCTCCTCGGGGCCTTCCTCGTTCTGGAAGTTGGGGAGGGGGTGTGGAAAAGGGTGGGGAGATGAGGAATATAACGTGGATCAAAGCCCACTGCCCCACCTACTGCTTGCTCAGACCCAGAGGAACCAGGGGCCCTTTGCTTCCAAAGCCAGCTGCGGGGGCTGCGTGCTATGCAAAGTCGGCAGAATCCCAGATTTTCAGGGAATCACAGAATCCTTAAGGTTGGAAAAGCCCTCAACCAGTAGTGCCAAGGCTACCACAAGGCCATGTCCCCAAGTGCCACATCCACAGGTCTGTTAACACCGGGGGTGGTGACTCCCCCACGTCCCTGGGGTTTGCAGGAAGGCATTTATTTACCCCGGGGTTAAATACGAGGTTGTGACACATCAGAGCATTTAATTAACCTCTCTGAAAGCTGAGTTTCCTCCCACCCTGGCACTGCTCCCCCCCCAGAATGGCTCTGACTTTTCCCTTCACGTTTATACTTTCTGCAGGATTCCCAACACCCTTCAAAAGTTACATCCTCCCCCTCCCTCCTTCCCCTCCACCACGTTTTTAATGCATCTTAAAAAGCCTCAGTGAATGATAAACTTGAAGGCACCCAGGGAGCCCGTGAGGGTCCCTCTCCATGGGGCGGGGACACGGATGCTTGGCCTTTAATTCAATTATCAGCAATTTCCCTGCACAGCTGCTCAACTTCTCCCCTTCCTGCAAAATGTGCCCCGAGATGCAGATCAAATAAAGGTCCATTAAGCACAGGAGTGAGCGTCTCACCTCCGAGGTGGGCTCCACTTCAATTTGAAGCAATGGGTTTCCTTCCAGGCTGTTGAAAGAATTACTGAATTAGCACCAGGTAAAAAACCACAGGGAGGCTGGGAATACGTGTGGGCATCGAGGCCTGATCCCTGCACCAGGACTCCAGGGAGCAGAGGGGAGAAGAGTTGTATTCACTGTTAATTTGGGACCCCTTCTCACCCTCCATCCCCAGGGTGCTGCCATGGGAGAGGGGAAGGCAGCAGGGATGATTAAAATTATCCACTCATATGGGATGTGTGACGTTCCAGGATGGGTTTGGTGATGTGGGAGCACACATAGCTCTCCATCCCATCTCCCGAGGGGAGGAGGCTCCGTTGCCACAAGCCCTGGGAGGTGTCACCCCTGGCTAAGCCGGGGACAGATTTCCACCCTCACGTGTTCTGACCACACTGGGCCTCGTGCTTGTGGCATTTTTAGGAATCTCCAAGGTCAGAATTCCAAAAGGACAACACTGATTTGCAGCCAGGAGAGAAGAAAACGAGTTTTTCAATTATTTTGGAGAAGTGGAAGTTTCAAAGACCCTCCCTGCAAAAGCAAAAGCAGCCAATTTTGATGAGTTTTCCAGCTGCCTGGGCCAGGAACTGATTTTTTCCTTCTCTGTTTACTCAGCACCTCCCACCACCAGGGTCTTGCTGCATCCAACAGTTAACAGGGAATTAGGAATGTTCTGAGTTAGGGAATTGGCTGGAGAAGCTCAGGTGCTTTCAAGCATCATACAAATATATTAATAATAATTATTATTACCCTCAAGAACATAAATAACAACATCCTTTCCCACGGAGAGCAGAGCACAACACCAGGCCACTCAGACAGTGTGATCCTGGGAGTCCTATCCCATTCCATGGCCACTAAAGAGCCATAAATCCCAGGGGAATCCAGCTGCCTATACAAAAGGAGCCAATCCTGATTTTTGGAGCAGCAGGGAAAGCCCAGGGTGGCTGCAGAGCATCAGGATGGACAGGTGGTTTGCAGGAGCAGCAGCTCCTCCTGCCTGATCCCCATCCAGGGCACAAATTCCTGTCTCCTGAGTATCCTGAGTATCCAGAGCTGCTCTTTAACCCACCCCAGCCCAGGGGGATCCTCAGTGACTCCCATGGATTGTTTTCAGTGGGAAAAGGGAGAGTGGAATCACAGATTTCACATATTGAAAGTTATTTCCACCCCAAAATCCTGCCAGCCCTACACCTGCCACCTTGTTTTGGGAAAAAAAACTTCAGGGCTTCGACTTCACCACTTTTCCATTAATTTCCCACGGGACAGGGGCTCCATCCCTGTCCCTCCCATCCCCTCTCCCAAGGGGAGATGCCCCTGGGAGACAGATCTTGTCTGTTAAACTCCTGCCTCGTAAAATCCTCCCAAAATGGCACTTAGCAAAAGGATCAGCAGGTGACCCTGCAGGGGAAGGACATCAGGGAATGCTGGATTAGAACTCAAACATGCTGGGAAGAGACAGTCCCAAGGTTGATCAGACACTGCATTTCACAGTTGATTTCAGTGCAAAACTTGCTGAACTCGAAATTATTGGAGGTGGGGCTGCAAGAACCACCTTTACTGAAACTGCCTCAAAGACCCTGGTTATCTGCTCATAATTTTATTATAATTTAATTAATCACTTGGGCTTTGGCTTCTTGGGGTGAAAGCCATTTTTTTTTTTCTACCAGTGAAGCGCTGTGGGTTGTAAATGAACCTTCTGTCTTCTCCTCTCAACTCTTCTCCTCACCAAGACCCGAGCCAGAGCTGTGAGCGGGCTCAGGGCAGCAGGAACACCCACCCCAACAGCACCCCTGAGCCCCAGAGGGTCCTGCAAAGCCAGGGGAGCACCCAAGGGTGCCTGGGGGTTGTGGAGGATGCACTGCTTGGGAAAGGCATGGAGAAGCCACTCACATGGTGCTGGAGGTGACGGGATGGAGGACGACCTGTGGGGCTCGGGTTGGAGTCTCAGGCACCACATCTGGAGAGAGGAGAGTGGAGTGAGAGAGATCTGGGGGGCACCCAGAGCAACTAAACCCCTGCTTAAAACCTCTCTTCACCCCCTAGAGCAGCTTTAGTTACACCCTGACCCGGCACTGGGTGTCACTCAGGGCCGCCCAACCCCGCAGCACCTTCACAGTGCACGGCCCTGCCTCAAGGTGCTGCTTTTAGGGGGCAAATCCCATCCCAGCACAACCTCCTTGGCAAAAAAACAGGGATTTAGGAGGGCTAACCATGCACCCACCCCTCCAGGGGACATCCCAGCACCCCACGTTATCCGGGGAGCCTTACCTGGGAAAATGAACTGCTGCTTGTACTTGTAGTAATGGGAAGCTGGAAAAGAGAGAGGGGGGGTTAAACATCCATCTCCAGAGCTGGAGAGGCTCCAAACTATGCCCATGAAACCTTGACCCCCTGGGGGTTGTGTGAACCCCACCTGTGTGACCCAACCTCTCCAGAGGAACCCACCCCTGCTGGGTGCCCTCACCAAAAATTAAGACCTCTGGTTGGATTATGACTTGATTTTTGCCCCCATCAGCTGCTCTTCCACACCCTCTGGAGGGTGTTCATGTCATCTGTGAAGTCACTGGTGGGATTTGGACAGCTGGTTGCCAGTAAAAGGCTGTGGGGTTTGAGTACTGGCCCTTGGTTGGTCTTTGGGGGTGGTTTGGCATCATGGAGACACCAAGTGATGGATTTTGCCACCCATTTTGGCCCAATTCAGCCCTTTTTTCCCATCTTTGGAGCTGTGTCCTTCCTGGGCTCCCTGACAAGCTCCTGGTGCACTGAGAGGAGCCTTGGGGGCTGCTGCCCAAAACCAGTGTTGCAGGAGGGCTCTGGGTGGTGGGACCCTCCCCTGGCTCCCCATCTCCAGTGGGCAAAATCCAAGGGCAGGTTCAGCTCACGTGTGCAGAGGGGATGAAGCAAGGCAGAGCTGCTGAGGCCACCAGAGGTTGGCACCGGCTCAAAAATCACTTTCTCCTTAAGCTCCAAGACCCCAAGGACCAACCCTCACCTTCCCCTCTCCAGCTCTGAGACCCTGAAGCCCGACCTCAGCTCTGCAGCACGACCTGAGCACCCCTGAGCCGAGATCAAAGGAGCCTCCGAGGTAATTCCGGCAGAAAAAGGTCCCCGAGTCGCAATTTCCAAGCTCAAATCCTAATCCCCGGGATGACCATCTTGATGGGATGAACCACGTCCCTCCAGGGAAGATGAAAGCACAGCAAGCCCTGCTTTGTGTCGGTCTGGCTCCCATCTGGAGCAGGGAATGAGAGCAGGGAACAAGCACCCCCAGAGCTGCCGGGGTCTCATCCTGCCCCACTCCATCCCTGCTGGCCAGGAAAACCTGCCAGGAGCCCATAAGGAGACACTGATGCCCATTTTGGGGGTTAATTCTGTTGTTTCTGCTTTAAACAACATGAAATATTGTCTCAAACAGACCCTCGGGGAGGTCTCTGCTCCAGAAGTGACACATGATGGGGTCACCAAATTCTGGACCCTCTTCCCTGCCCAGGAAGGGTCCAGGGCTGGCCCAGCAGGTGGATTGGGGATGTTGATCGCTCTGATCCCTGTTATCCCACTGTGGAGACCTCAGGATGCTTCACCTCCAGCTGGACCACCACAAACAGGGTTATTACCAGTGTGGAAACCCACAGCATGGCCTCAGGATTCCAGGGACACTGTGGATTGTCCTCCCAGAACTTGTGACATTCCAGAGCTTTGGGGATTGTCCTCCCAGAACTTGGACACTCCAGAGCTTTGGCTGGCAAAATCCCGGGGTCCTGGGTTGGGGTGTCCAGTGCTTCCTCACAGCTCCTCCACCATCTTCCTCAGGCCCCTCCAGCCCCCCACCCGAGTCCTGGGCGCTCCAGTCAGGGAGCCTCGTGCGTGGCTGCCCCCTCTCCAGGCACACCAGGACCTGGTGCTTGGTTGTTGGGGGTTTTTCCAGGCTTTTGGAAATGTTTGTTGTTGTGGGATGAAGTCTGCCAGTCAACTTTGTCCTTGTCTCTGCTCCTCCTCCTCCTCTCAAGCTCAGGGCTGGTCGGGATGGAAGGGCAGCATCACCAGGGTGCAGCAGGACCAGCAGAGCATGAAGATGCCACCTGGGTCCTCTGGAGAAATTCTCCTGACCCCTCTTCCTACTGGACCAGTTCATTAACTGCTGTTCTGAGGGTGCAGAAGGGACCCCAAACTTCTGCTCCAGCAAAGAGGTCTCAGGTCATGGACCAAGGAGGGGCCACCAGCCCCAGGGCAGCCATGGGTGCTTCAGCATCTCAGGGATGGGTCAGGGCTGTGGCTCCCCCTCCTCTCCACTCTCCAGGACTTTTTTGGGAGCAGCTGGAGAGGCAGGTGGGTGGCTGAGGACAGCTGAGCCCCTCCACACCACCAGGAGTGATGCTGAGCCGTTCCCCTGCAGGAAAGGACCTTGCCTGGAGCAGCAGCACTGCCCCAAGGACATCCCAAAGGTGCACAGGCTTTGAGACTCCCTCAGCCTAGGAGGAGCTGGTTTTTTGTGGTCATTTAATGTAACTCCTGTGTCCTGCAGCCACCAGGACCCAACTGCCCCTCCCACCATCCCTGAAGAGCCTGAGCTCCAGGAGCAGATGGGTCCCAGGTACCCAGACAAGCCTCGATGGGACAAGGATGTCAGACACGCCCAGCATCACCTGCCCTCCACTATCACCCCACATGTGCTGCCAACGAGCTTTTTGGGGGCCCATCACCCCAAAGACACAGTGAAGTCAACCCAAGGAGCCCTTGTAGAGGGGGTGAGGCCTTGATTTCTGTTTGCAGTTGAGGCAACGTGCCCTGGAGGAATCCAAGCCTGGGAAGGATTCTGTAGCCTCAAGAGCAGCAGGTTGTGCCAGCTCCATCCTTGGGAGGTTTCCAAGACCCAAATGCACCAAGCCTTGGGCTCTGACCCTCCTTCCAGCCGCAGCTTTGATGGAGACTCCCGACCTGAACTCCCCTCGACTCATCCCTGCTGCTCATTGCTGCTCCCACCTTTTCCCTATCCCCCTATAAGCCCAGACAGGAGCAGACCCTCACCCTGAGGACCCCCCGGGGCACGAGACAGACATGGAGGTACCTGGCAGGTTGAACTGCTTCTGCTGGCGCGGGCACTGCGGGGAGGGGTGCAGGGGGGACGGGGGCGTCGCGCTGGGCGGCAGCGGCGGGGCCGGCGAGGAGGGCGTGGACGACGTGGTGGAGGAGGGGTTGCTGCTGGAATCCGGCTGGTAGGGCACTGGGATGTGGTCCTGTGGGACACGGGGCAGGAGAGAAGAAGAGAGGGGCCGGTGAGAGCGGCGCACAGGACCCCAGTGACAAGTGACAGCTGCACGGGTCAGAGAAACACAGAAGGTCCTGAGCTGGAAGGGACACCCAAGGAGCATCCAGCCCAGCTCCTGGCCCTGCACGGACACCCCAACAATCCCACCCTGTCCCTCAGAGCGTTGTCCAAACCCTCCTGGAGCTCTGGCAGCCTTGGGGCTGTGCCCACTGCCCTGGGGAGCCTGTTCAGTGCCAACCACCCTCTGGGGGAAGAATCTTGATCAGCTTTGCCAGGGACAATCAAATTCTGGGTTTTTTTATTTGTAACAATAAATTCCTTGTTTACTCCAGTCTCTGGTGGTAGCAGAGGCCTCAAAACACCCCAAATTCAGCTCAGACCTGGAGACTGAGAGGCCACAAAGGAGCAGGACCAGGACAGGAGGACCCAGCTGGTTTAAAAATGCTGGTTCCATTTTATTTTTTAAATTAAATAACCCCATGGGAAGCATCCCACAGTGGGAACACCAAGGGGCGAGAGTTTTGCAGTTCAACTCATCCTCCCTCACTACCGAGCTCACCCTCACCCTGCTCCTGGAATTAGCACCAATCCATGGGATTATTTGATTAATTTGAACCTCCAAGCAGGTTTTTAGGCAGCTCCTACCCAGGTGCTGACACCTGTAGTGGTGGATGTGCCTGGTGACACACAGGGACACCTGCAAGGTTTGATCCTGGCAGACCCTGAGGGCTGGGATATTCCCCCTCTGGATTCATGTCCATGTAACAAGAAGGACATGGAGGGGCTGGAGCGTGTGCAGGGAAGGGAACGGAGCTGGGAAGGGGCTGGAGCAGCAGGAGCGGCTGAGGGAGCTGAGGGGGCTCAGCCTGGAGAAAAGGAGGCTCAGGGGGGACCTTCTGGCTCTGCAACTCCCTGACAGGAGGGGGAGCCGGGGGGAGGGTCGGGCTCTGCTCCCAGGGAACAGGGACAGGAGGAGAGGGAACTACCCCAGACTGTGCCAGGGGAGGATTAGATTGGATATTGGGAAAAGTCCTTCATAGAAAGGGTTGCCCATCCCTGGCACAGCTGCCCAGGGCAGGGGTGGAGTCCCCATCCCTGGGGGGATTTAAAACCCATGTGGATGTGGCACTTGGGGACAGGGGTCAGTGGTGGCCTTGGCAGTGCTGGGGAATGGTTGGACTCCATGATCTTGGAGACCTTTTCCAACCTGGACAATTCCACGATTCTGTAAAAAGCTGCCAATATTTGGGTGCGGTGGGTTCGGTCCCCTCTGGCAGGGGGTGGGCACAGGGGGTGGGCACAGGGGGTGCTCAGGGCTGGGGGAGCAGCTCACCTTGTTGAGTTTGTTGGTTTTGGGCAGGGTCTGGCTGACGTGCAGGTCCGAGTACCGGGGCGGCTTTCGCAGGGGGTTGTTGATGTCGCAGGGCACCGACTCTGTCCGGACTAACCTTGCTGGATGGAGAGGGGACAGAGGGGCAGCGGGGATGGAGAGGAGGGGGAGAGAGAGGGACAGACATCAAAGCTCTGGAGGAGCCCTCGGGGTCACCCTGTGCTTGCAAACCACTCTGGAATCGCCCTCCAAAGCGATTCCCCCCTGGCACCTCCAGCTCGGAACCTGCCCTGGGATTGGCAGCTGATTTTTGGGATCCCCTGCTCCCAGGCTCCAGCCAACCTCCTCAAGGTTGTGGGGGGGCTTAAAGACCCTCATGGTGGGCTGTGAACTGCCCACTTCTCCACCCACCGAGGGGCTGCAATCTGGGGGGCTCAGCAGCTGCCACAGCCACCCCTGGAGCCAGGGATCAGCCAGCACTGGGAGGAGGCACAATCCTGTTCCATCCCACAGCTTTTTGGGATGAGGGGAAAGACTCTCTCAGCAAAGACTCTCTTAGCAGGGAGACTTCTTTGGGGGGAAAAGCCAGCCTGCAGGTTGGGGGGGGTGCTCAGGAATGCTTGGTCTGCAAGACAATGTATTTAAGAGCTGAGTTTTGTTGTTGGTTTTTTTTTGGGGGGGAGAGCTATTTCACTGGTGCTGAGGCCACCCCAAAGCCACGCTGCTCCTTGTTCCCACGCTGAAAGACACCGTGGGCAGCTCCAGCTCTTGCAACATCACATCCCACAGCCATAAACGCCAATTTCTGCCCATCCCAGGAGCCCTGGAAGAGCGGGATTTTGCCTTCCCTGCCTCCTGGTCAGGTTTTGCAGCAGCTCTGAGCGTGACAGGGGGGGTCTTCAAGCCCTTCCACCCAAATTTGCTGCAGGGAAGGGCCTGGGCGGGGGGGTGGGGGTGAAGTGAAAGCTGTAAAATTGCCCCCTCCGAGGCACAACATCCCCACTGTGCCACCAACACAATCCACTCCGCCGGGGGATCAAACCAACAATAATTTCGGCGATATTTAACACAAAGCCGCAGCTTTAAGAGCTCAAAACTCAAGGCAGCAATAACTGGAAGGTGGCCACAGTCCTCTGGCCGTCAAGGGGACCGGCCAAAATCTGGAAGAAAAGAGGTGGGGAAGCGGCGGCCCCGTCGTCCTGCTGCAAAGCTCTCCCTCCTCTGCGGGTTTCAGGACGGATTTGTTTTAGAGCGGGATAAGGCAGCTCCAAAAGCACCACGAGCATCCACGTGGCCACATCCCCGTTGTGGGGGACCCCCATGCACGGCTTTTGGGGTCCCACCGTCCGCCCTGAGCAAAAAAAAAAAAAAAGGCTAAAACCTGTTGGACTTACCCCGTGCTGTGGGGAATCTGAAAAGAAAAGGAGGCAGGGGGAGGGTGGGTGGAAGTGGTTTGCAATGCAAATCTGCCTCGCCCCGCACGGCTCGTCTCCCTACAAGCAGGAAAAAACGGGTGGGTAAAGTTTTCCCAGAGCGCCCGAAGCGGTTCGGGAGCCTCCCCAGGGCCCGGCTCCCGAATCGCCCCGGGGGGGCTGCTGGAAGTTTTACCTGCGTGGCAACGTCCGTGGAGGCACAAGGTGGTGGGAGAAGGGCCCTTACCTCCTCGGTGGATGATCAGCAGGTGACACGGAGGGGCCTCTTTGGTGCATTTGTTGTGGCACTTGAGCCTGGCAGGGGACAGAGAGAGAGAGGAGTGAGGGGGGAGGGTGAAGGAGACACGGAGAGTCCCGGGATGGAGAGCACGGAGGGACGGGACAAGGGGGAGCGGCTTCCCGCTGCCAGAGGGCAGGGTTAGGTGGGATACTGGGAAGGAATTCTTCCCCGGCAGGGTGGGGAGGCCCTGGCACATGAATTCAAGGATTGTCTGATTAGCAGAGGAAATCTCCCCCTCCAAAACTGGCATCCCACGGGGGAAAAGCTGTGAGGAGAAATTGAGGTAGAGGCTTGGGAGGGTGTGATGGAGAAGAGAAGGCTCCAGGGAGACCTGAGAGCCCCTTCCAGGGCCTAAAGGGGCTCCAAGAGAGCTGGAGAGGGACTGGGGACAAGGCATGGAGGGACAGGACAACGGGAATGGCTTCCCACTGCCAGAGGGCAGGGATAGATGGGATACTGGGAAGAAATTCTTCCCTGTGAGGGTGGTGAGGCCCTGGCACAGGTTGCCCAGAGAACCTGTGGCTGCCCCATCCCTGGGATAGTGGGAAGTGTCCCTGCCCATGGCAGGGGGTGGATCAGATGAACCCTGAGGTCCCTTCCAACCCACGCCATTCTGGGATCCTATGAATCCATGATGTGAGGTGGAACAGGGAGCATCATCATCCCTTTCTGCCCCCAGGGAGGTGACTGGATGTGAGGCCTTGCCCCTGGGTCTCACTGCCTGATCCAATCCTCTGGAGCCCCGTGGGCCTGGGAAGCCCCACAGTTCCCAGGCAGCAGCTCAGGGAGAGGGACAGGTTGGAGCAGCAGGGTGGGCTGGCTGGCAGGACACGGGGGCTGCACTCCATGGAAAATCTGTTGGGATGGAGCAGCACAGGAGCTCCCAAACCCGGGGGCACTGCCCAGCTCCCTCTTTTCCTGCCAGCTGGAGGATGCCTGAAATTCCCCCTTCTGCCAGTGGAGGCTGAAATAAAAGGAGCAGAGTCCTGCACTGGGGTAAAGGGTCAGTGGGAGGTGTCCCTGCCCGTGGCAGTGGCTCGGGACTAAATGGTCATTATGGGCCCTTCCAGCCCAAACCATTCCATGATTCCATGAAACCCTGGGCTAGTGGAAGGTGTAGGGGTGGAACAAGATCAGCTTTAAGATCCCTTCCAGCCCAAACCATTCCGTGATTCCATGAAACCCCCCCCCTTCCAACCACCAAAATTCAGGGGCAGTGGAGGGGGAGGCAGCAGCTGCCCTGGCCCCTGACGTGTCTTTGTCATTGTACCCTCCCCACTTGGCTTTGTGAGGGCCATTTAACCAAAATAACAAGAGCATTTACGGCTCCAGTGAATATCCTGCAGAGCTTTGCCCGGTTCGTGGAGCTGGGGCAGGAGTCTGTGCAGGGGCTCACCCCTGGGTCATGCATTTAGGCATCAGCACAGTCCCCAAACCTCCCCATTCCTCCTTAATTAGGCATGGAAATGCATCCCAGGCTCACGCTCTGCCACGGCTGCAGAAAGCCGTGGGGGAAAAAAAGGTAAAAAAAAGGAGGAAAGGATTTATAAAAACAAGGGGGAAGGATGGAAGGGAAAAAAAAAAAAAAAAAAAGAAAAAAAAAGGGAACAGCAGCTCCAAGTCAATGAGCTGGGTAATGAAAATTCAGGAGCTGTGCGTGTTGGCTTTTATTGCAAAGCTGTTCCTAGAGAGAAAGGCAGGAATTAATTCGGTATTTGAGGCTTGGGGGGTTTGGGGTCTGGTTGTTTGTTTTACCTGCTGGTTCCCCCCTGGTTTCTGGAGAAAGCGGTGCCGGAGTTGGCTACAGCAGAACTGGAAAACCTAAACACCTGTGTACACCCAGACTTTTGACAGCCAGGGCATGGATTTGTGCCTTTCTGTAGGATTGCAGGGGGTAGGACTGACACAGCCAGAGCCACAGCATTGCTGGGATGGGCACAGCATCCCTGTTCCTGGCAGGGACCAGGCATCACATCCCCCTTCCTGCACGGGGACCAGGCAGGGCTTGCAGGTAGCAAAGCCTCCAGTAGCTTGAGATGGACTGCAGTAGGAATCACCCCTTTAAAAATCTATGGATTTGATAATATCACTTCCAGGAAGCCACCCCCAGCTGTGGAGTAACCAGGCATTTCTGGGCAGGTTTAAATCCCAATTTACCAACTCATCAGCGTTTAATCAAGGGCGACAGCGATCATTATCACTCCACAGCTCCAGCCAGCTCAGTTACCCACAGACATTCCCAGCTCCCATCCCTAGAAAAGGCAATCCTGTCTCCAGCAGCAGTTTGCCTAAGAGCTGATGGCTGTGTGACACTGCCTGAGCTGGGCTCTGCCAGATTTAGAGCAGAGAAGTGGCCCCAGCCTCTGCCTTGCTCTCTTTGCCCAGTTCTCTCTGATTTTACGGCCTCCCTCCTTTGCACCGTGGCTGAATTGGGATTTAGGGTGGGTTGGCTCCTCAGTGCCAAGGCCCTGCCAGGAAACACAGATCCCCATGACTTTGGCTGCAAAAGCAGAAGCTGCAGCCCAAGGCTGTGGGCAAAGCCCACTCAGAGCCACTCCAGCACTCTCAGCCCCCATTCCTGTGCATCCATCCCCAGCTCCTGCAGGTAATTCCACGAGGAACACGCAATGGAAGGAGCTAAAGGCAGGCCAGGGATGGCAGCGAGCAGGGGGCACTGTCAGGATCTGACTCAGATCTCTGGTGCCAGCAGAGCCAGGCTCTGGTGAGCAGCACCATCCCCAAGGACCCCGCTCCATCCCAGGCACCCCCCATCCACCACCTCAGCCCTGCTCTGGGCTGGTATTCACCCAATCCCACGGCTCATTAAAGCTTCCTGGGAGGATGAGCTGGTTGGCCTCCTCATGCCTGAGTTCCTGCTCGGCTCCATCAGCAAAACCCCCAAATTTATCCCCTCCCAGCCTTGAGGAGTGACACAAACGGCTCCAGCCCCCGCCCGTACTTGCAGTTTTTGCATTTTAAGCCGAACAACATTCCTTTCCCACAGACAGTGCAGGTCTGAGACATCCAGTACTTGGTGGAAAACCTGTGGAGAGAAACACGGAGAGTGGCAAGGGAAGGATGAAGCCACACCTATCTCCCCAGCCCTGATTTATTGTGCCCTTGCTGCCCTCAAACACCGCTGCAGGTGCTGAGGAACCTTCCTAGGGATGCCAGAGCACAAATCCGAGCCCATTTTGGTCATGGAGAAGGGCACAACCTGCTCCAAAGGGGTCCAAGCCAGCCAGGACGGGCATTTGCCACTGGCTGGCTGCAGCTCCCCAGCTTTGCCCACCCCTGGCACCCCCCAGAAACACCTCCTTGCCCTGGGGATCCAAGTTTCCAGCCTACCAGAGGAGCAGCTACCCCATCAAACAGCAGCACTGAGACTATTTCCAGTGGTTTTCCCTCTTCAGGTAGATAGGGAAGGGTGATAATCCGGAGATGGGGAATTTGCTGAAGGTCGGCAAGGTCATGGATAATACACAGCTCTTATTGATAGCGACTCAGGCCTTATCTAAACCAAATCTGGACTGAAATGGAATTTAAATGGGCTTTTAGGACAGCACAGTACAGCCTGGGGGAGATGGGGAAGAGTCCTGAGCGCCCTGTCCTGGATCAGAGGTGGGAAGGGAGATGTTCCTGCCCCGGGAGCACGGCAGGGTGGGAGTACCTGTGTTTTATGGAGTTTCCCAGATCCCGCCGGGGGATCTGCGGGGACCAGCGAGGCACTGACAGCGTATCTGCAGGAGAGACAGGGACAGCCATCAGTGCTAGCCAAGGCAAGAGCCAGGGTTCAGGTTTCTGGGGAGGGAAACAAAGAATGCACACCAAAAAAATGGGGTTTTCCTGGAGTTTCTCCCCTTGGAGATGCTTCCCTTCTGGAAAGAAGAGACCTCTGGGATTTGTGTTTGAGTGTGAGGGAAAGGGGGGGTCTCCTGTCCCCCCACAACAGCCCCCAGTACCCAGGTGGGACCAGGGGGGTGATGCACCCATGTGCAGGTAGGGTAGGACTGCAAAGCTTTTGGAACCACATCGTGATGTCCAAACAGGAAAGGGAAAATAAAGCTGGAACGGCATCTTTTCCACTTTAGAATAAGACATCACGCCACGCGCTGGGGGCTGAGCAGAAAGCCGAGCGTCAGACAGCCAGGAGGAGAATACACTCGTATTCCAAGAGAAGAACAGAGCAAAAAGCAGCCTTGGTGCTCCCCTTCCACGGGAAAAGGAAGCAGAAGGGGTGAGGAAGAAGAGGTAAGTTCATTAGCACTGGAGCAGGACAGTAATTAGCAGTGTGGCCAAGCCTGGACTCCACATCCCCCTCAGCCTCGCAAGGGCAGAGTCCCTCCTCTTCCTCCTCTTCCTCCTGGAGAGGAGGCCACGGAGAGGTCGTGCCCTGCAGGAGGGAATCTGTGCTGGGATTCGAGGGCTGGATTTTCAATGAGGGATTTGAGAGGTTTCCCGGGCCCAAGCCCCAAAGCCCAGCACGAGCCGAGGGCCGAGCGGCGCAGCCCGGCCGTTTGCTCCGTGTGCCGGCAAATCCCTGGGCAAACACACGCTGGATATTATCCCTGGGAGTCGGGAGAGCCACTGTTTGCTCCAATATCCCATTTTAATATAGCAGGCGGAGGGGAGCTCTAATTGCACTCGCCTGCTGAAGGTTACATTTACATCCTGCTTCCTGTGCCAGGGACCAAGTCCTGGGAGCATCCTGAACTCCATCCTTCTCCAGGATCATCCTAAACTGCCTCTTTCTCCAGCATCATCCTAAACTGTTCCTTTTCCAACATCCTAAACTGCCTCCTTTTCCAACATCATTCCAAACTGTCTCCTTCTCCAGCTCCTCCCTCCAGCAGCTGCTCCAGCTCCTTCTCTTACTCCACTGTATCGGTGCCAAACATTCCACAGGCAGAGCCAGCAGTGAAGATGTCAGATCACAGAATCATGGAATGGGACCTCAAAGCCCATCGAGTTCCACCCCTGCTGTGGGCAGGGACACCTTCCACCAGCCCAGGTTGCTCCAAGCCCCATCCAGCCTGGCCTTGGACACTTCCAGGGATCCAGGGGCAGCCACAGCTTCTCTGGGTAACCTGGGCCAGGGCCTGCCCACCCTCACAGCCAACAATTCCTTCCCAATATCTCATCTATCCCTGCCCTCTGGCAGTGGGAAGCCATTCCCTGTGTCCTGTCACTGCCCATGTAAAAAGTCATCCTGCCTAATTTCTCTGAGCCCTTTCAAAGTCAAGGAGGGGATTTGATCTCCCCATCCCTGCCTTGGCTCTTTCATCCCGTGCCGACATTTTTGACCCACGGTTCTCCCCAGCCATTGAGACAACCCACCTTCCCATTGCCGCAGCACCTGCAGCCTCCCAGGGGTGGGAAGTTGGTCCCCAAATCCCAGGGGTGACGCTCCAAAGAGTGTCACCGCTCCACATCCCTCCCAAAACGTCAGCGTCTCACCAGTAAATCGCATTACACAAATGAGTTGTCATCATCCCCCTTCCAGCCCCGGTCCCTGAAGAACTAAACACCCGGGCAGGAACAGCTCCTCTCCCAGAATTAAATTACAACCTCCGCTTTATCAGCCACAATTTATTTTCCACTAAACTTTCAGCTGGCCTCAATTAAATCCTGCCAGCCCGGGGAGGGGGAGAGGGAACGGAGGCAAAGACGGCCGCTGAGCCTTTTAATTACTTTCTAAATGTGCTCACTGCAATAAGGTATTAAAGTGTATCGGGGATTTTGACCTCCCAACACAAATGAGACCTGCGTGATTCACGGCTAATTACGCTCATTAGAGGCAGCGATACACGTCGGATGGCGGTGTTTAACAATAGAGGGAAAAGCAGCCGAGCGGGGCAGGAGGGCAGGGGAAGGCACCCCGCGGCCGTGGGGAACAGCCCCGAGAGTTTGGGGAGCTGTGGAGTTAATTGGCGATTCTTTCCCCTTTAACCCGTGCAGTGAGATTCCTACCCGGAGGAAAAGCTGCTTCTCCCTCCCGGTGTTAAATCGGGGTGATAACCAGAGGGAAGGCGAGGAATATTCCCACAGAAAACCCCCCAGACTGGCACGATTAGAGGTAATTGCAACAAAACCCCCTGCGAGCACGTCTCGCTGCCGCAGGAGGGGGGCCCGGCTTTGTCGGGAGGACCCCGGGATGGAGAAACGCCGGAGCCGGGGCAGCGGGATCAGTTGATCCTCGCAAGCTTCGGAGCGTGACAGCGGCTGCCTCTCTCCCTCTCCCCCTCGCTCTCTCCCTCCTCCTCCTCCTCCTCCCCGCACCAGCCACGCCGAGCTGCTCCCGACTATTGATGTCTCCCGACCTCCCCTGCCCGCGTGTCAGTCATTACTCAAACCTTTATCACCAGCAACCTTCCTGCACGGCTTGAAATTCCAAGCTCTCCTCGCTCTTCCCGTCGCATAATTTCCAACATCCCACCCCATCCCCCGGCGCCCCGCTCTCCTCCTCCGGGATGAGAGTTAACGGGCACAAGTGGAATTTCCCAGGGCAGCAGCAGCCCGGGGTGAGCCCCCAAAAGCCAAACCCCGCTCCCCGATGTCGTGGCGCTGCCCGACGCCCGCCCCCAGCACATCAGGGCGGCGTAGACCCCGGTGCCAGGGGGTGGAAGTGCCACTCTCCACCCCAGAAACACCCCAAAATCTCCGCGGTGCAGCGGCAAAGGTCACAGCTCCTGCTCCGCGAGGCACAGCTTATCCTTGAGTCAACAGCCTGCGCTTGATGGGATCGGATGTGCCGGGAGGAGAGCGGGGAAAGGGGGAAACCAAGCGGGCAGAGGGTGACAGCCACCTCCGGCGCGTCTCTGACAGGCGACACGGCAGAAGAGCCCTGCCAGCCGCCTCCCCAGCGGTGACAGGCAGCTGTGACAGCCACCGCCGGTCCCTGAGTGGCACCCGCGCGCCTCGGAGGTGACGGGGACGGCGCTGCTGCCGCGGCCGGGTCGCCCCCCGTGCCCCTGCTGCGGATGTTTCCCGTCACTCCCCAGCTGCGAGCTGGGATGCCTGGGCATCTCCCGCATGGAGAGGAGCAGCTGGAGCTTCCCTGCCTCATTATTTTGGGTTTCCACCCTCCCTGGGGGCAGAGCGGGAGGGCAGTGATGGCCTCAGCGAGTAAACCCCCTCACCAAGGACAGCAGGAGCATCATCCAAGGGTGGCCCCACAACGATGGGGACCATGTTTGGTCACAATTCCCCCCTTCTCCATCTCCTGGCATCCTTCTGGATGCCCAGGGAAGTGTTGTGAACACGTTATCCATCATGGAGACAGCCTGACAAACAAACCCTCCTCCTCCTACTCCAGCAAAGGGCATTGGAGACGTTCACATTACGAATGGGACGGATAGAATCGATGGAAGTGAACTTGGAAAGCATCCCAGGCTGAATCACTGCAAAGTCAAGGAACAGCCAGGAGGCTTTGCACTTGTCTGGAGATGTCCTACAGACCTGTGTCTACCCCAGGCTGCCACCAAAGTGCTCCCAGAGCCAGCCCCAGGGTGGCTGAGTCCCATGGAGAGATGATGGGGAGACACTGGGGTGTCTCCTCCCAGGAGAGTTAAACAGCAGAAGAGATCCAGTATCAGGAGTATCTCCAACACCACAGGCCAGGGCAGAAACCACAGTCTGGAGCCAAATCATAGTATCAGAACCACGGAAAAGTTTGAGTTTGAAGGGACCTTAAAGCTCATCCAGTCCCAGCTGGGGAGCCGAGCACAGCAGGGAGATGCTCTGCAGCAAAGGCTTCCAAGCCCCTTCCTGAGACACCCTGGTCCTTGCTCATGCTGATTTTAGGGCCAAAATAGGATGGGAGAGATCCCTGAATAGCTCACCTGCAGCAACACTCAGAGCAGCAGCTCCAGCAGCTTTCCCTCCCCAGGATGTAAAATCCACACAGGATTCAAGCCACAAAGGGCGTCACCTGTTCTCTCCATCAGTGCATGTGGCAAACACTCTGCACAGCATTTGGTCTGGTGGAAGGTGCTCCTGTCCATGCAGGAGGTGGAATGAGATGGTCCTCAATGTCCCTTCCAACCCAAACCTTTCTGGGATGCTGTGGATCACGGCCAGGTCCAAACCCGGGGGCTGTGGGTGGAAGGATGATCCAGTGGGAGGGAACAAAACCTCAGCCATAGCCGAGAGGATCATCCACGGCAGGCAAAGAGGGCAGAGCTGTTCTCAGAGCATCCCTCTGGTAAGAAAAGAGTCTCTCCCTAATCCCAGCAGCTCCTCTTTGCAGCGTGACAATCCTGTTTATGCAGCTGGAATGTCACATTCAGCTGCTCCACTGCCTGGGAGACTCACACTGGGACTTCCCCCCCAAGTTCTCAGCCTTGCAGGCTCAATTAGGCTTAGCCAGACTAAGCTGGATTCTGTGGCTCCACACACAGCGTTCCCGGGGTAGGAAAACCTCTGGAGCATCTCTGCTGGCTGGAAAAGCCCTGTGGTGAGGCAGCCAGATGTGGCCAGATGTGGGAGCTCCCAGCTGGGCTGCCAGCACAGTCCTGGAGCACTCGTGGCTTGGTCTGGGAGCAGGGGAGGAGGTTCAGGGAGGAGGAAACCACTGATGGCAGCAGGGAAATGTTGGGAATGAAGGTGGTTTGAGCCAGGACAGTGTTAAGGGGAATTCTCTCCCCACACTGGGGAGGGGATGCCTATGGAGTGGGGCTGTGGCCTGAATGGCACCAACTGCTTGCTCCTGTGCCCCACGGCACCTTCAGCACCCTTGGGTCCTGCCTGGTCCTTCCCAGCACAGAGGCTGGATTTAGGGCTCCTGGGCTCCCACTTGGATCCACTGGACACTATCCTGCCTCCCTCCCCAGCAGCCACACCCGCCTGGGGTGACCCTTCAGGGGCTCTTTCACGGATGGTCAGGGGTTGAGGGGGCTCCAAGAGCTCTGGGGGCATCCCAGCATGGATGCCCACCCAGGCCCCCGGGTGGGCACAGTCAGGCTGCTTCCCAGGGCAGGGGGTCAGTTCAGCACCATAACCTGCAAATCCTCGGCCACAAAGCCACGAGGAAGAGCCAGGACCAGGACTGAGGAGGAGCGACCCACCGGGGACAGCACCAAGGGATGGAATGGGGCTGATGGACAGGGTTGGGCTGATGCCCCCAGCTGGGAGCTGGGCAATGCTGGAGACCACAACAAACCATGGTGACAGGCTCTGCAGGGACAAACAAAGGCTTGGAGGGGTCACTGCCTGTGACTCCACGCACCAGGGGATGTTCCATGGCTCTTGCCTTGCTCCTGGGACATGGAAGGAGCCTTTGTGCTGCAGGAGGGTGTTCAGCAATGTCCCTGCAAGGAGAGACTTCACCCACGGCTTCAGTCTGGGCACAAGTGGTGGGTTGGTCTCTCCTGGGGCACAGAAAGACTTGGTTTGGGTTGGCTGCTCCTTTCCTTGGTTGGAAGGGCAGCAAGGAGGACATTCCCTGCTCAGCCATGTGCCCAGCTGCTCATTTCTCACAGCACAGTCACTCACAGCCTTGGTTTGGCCCTTCCCTTCCACCCACTTCTGTTTTACACGGTCCAGGATGGGAATGATATTGTTGGCCCATCCTGGAGGACTCCAAGCAGGTGACCTGACCTGGATGCATGTGGTGACAGTGCTCTGGCAATGCCACTCAACCCCAGGACCACCAGGTAAGGGGACACAAACAGGACCTGCTAGTCCTGAGCTTTTACAATGAAAAGGAGAAGGTCCAACCTGATTTCTGGGTGCTCAAGCCAAGACATGGGGTGTCCTAAATCCAGTTTCAAAGTAACAACATGGCTCTGGCTGTCACTTGGAGTGACCAGATGCCTCAAGAGAGGTCCTGGATGCAGGACAAAACACCTTCTGTCCCTCAGCCACTGGGCTGGGCTGTTTTCAGGGCCAACTGAGAGTTCAAAGGCACCTCAAAAATCTTTACTTCCCCTTTTCTGCTTCCCCTCCAAGAGCTACTAAGGAAAAACCAAACCAAACTCCAAACTCACAGGGTTCCTGGCCCCATGGGGGGAAGGGGACTTCACCTCTTCTGCCACTTCCTCACAAGGGGCAGCTCCGATCTCTGCTCTCTCTGAGCAGCGACAGGAGCTGAGCAGGAGCTTTGTTAGGAGAGGGTTAGGTCGGGTATCAGGAAAAGGTTGGATGTCAGGAAAAGGGCACTGACCAGGCTCCCCAGGGCAGTGGTCACGGCCCCAAGGCTGCCAGAGCTCAAGGAGTGTTTGGAAAATGCCCTCAGGGATTGTTGGGGTGTCCTGAGCGAGGCCAGGAGTTGGGCAGATCATCCCTGTGGGTCCCTTCCCACTCAGGATATTCCATAATTCTATGATTCCATCAGCAAGATCTGTGCTGCAGGAGAAAGAGACTCCTTCTGCAGCTCCCTCCAGCCCTCCTGCTCTCGCTCCACGTCTGAGCAAACCCATCCCACCGGGGCAGAGGGCTAGGAAAAATACACGAGGAGCATCGGGACGCGGATGAGGAGCGGGGATGACTCAGATGGGAGCACGCTCCTGCCACAGGGAGCAGGGCTGCTGAAGAGAGATCATGGAGAGAGGGGTCTCACCCAGGGCTCCTCTCGCATGCCTCAACCTGACAGCACCGAGCTTTCTGTGTTCCCGTGCTTAGGGAAGCAATTCCACATCAACCACAGCAACCCCACGGAGCTCATCCAGCAGCCCCGGGGAATCCCACTGCGCTCCAGGCAAGGAGAAATGGTGGTACCCCAGGAGATGGGGTGAGGGGTGACCCCCAAAGCACCAACAGAGCTTTTCACAGGACCTACAAGCCCTGGATCTGTGGAGAACAGCAGTGGGAGCTGGGCAGGAGGCTGAGGACACCCAAGGCATCGGGTACCAGAGCAGAGGAGTCACCCTGGTGCCAGAGCAGCAATGTGGGGCACGGGGAAAGCTGCAGAGATGCCACCTTGGTGTCCCTGCTGAGAGGGAGGTGATGCCCTGGCACAGGTTGCCCAGAGAAGCTGTGGCTGCCCCTGGATCCCTGGAAGTGTCCAAGGCCAAGTTGGAACAACCTGGGCTAGTGGGGGGTGTCCCTGCCCATGGCAGGGGTGGATCAGATGAACTCTGAGGTCCCTTCCAACACAAACCATTCCACGATTCCATGAAACCCTGGGCTAGTGGAAAGTGTGGGGGTGGAACAAGATCAACTTTAAGATCCCTTCCAGCCCAAATCATTCCATAATTCCTTCCCACAAACCAAGGTGCCCCTGCCCTGCCTGGCAGAACTCCCACACAGACGCTGGTCCTGCAAGGGCCAGACGGCTTTGCTGATGCTGAAACCTCTCACCAGGGACCCACCAGCCGGTGAATCCAAGCCTGTCTCACATCCAGCACGGAAAACAAACATCCCCAGCAACCAGGGAGGTTGGAGGGCTGAGGGAAATGAGAGGAGAAACGTCTCCAGCAGCGTCTCCAGCCCCTCACTTCTCATCACATCCCGCTCCTGCAATGCCACATTCCAGCAGGTTCTCCAGCCCGGGCTGTGAGGGAATATAATGCACCCAGAAACGGCTGAGAAGGGCTTTGGGTCTGGGTTTCTGCTCTGTTGGTCCAGGCTGCAGGTTGAACTCAGCCAGTGCCACGGGAAAACCAGGAATGTGGAAATTCTCGCTCTGGGAGAACCCGCTGGCTGTGCCAGGGACAGGCAGGCAGTTGGAGATCTCTGGGAATAACATCTGAGGCAGGCAGTTGGAGATCTCTGGGAATAACATCTGCCTGCAGAGCTCCTGCCAGGTCCCACCGTCCCCAGGGAGGAAGAGGATGGTGGGAATGGCTTGGTGGTTCCTCGGTGATCCCAAAGAGCAGCTGAGGGGAAGGAAAGGGGGGAAGGGAAAAAGGAAAGGGGAGAAGGAAGCAGGGAAGGAAGGAGGGAAGGTGGAAAGGAAAGGAGAAAGGAAAGCAGGAAGGAGGGAAGGAAAGGAGAAAGGGAAGGAGGGAAGGGAAGGAAAGAAGGGAAGGAGGAAGGAAGGAAAGTGGGGGAGAAAGGGAGAGGGGGGAAAGGAAAAGGAGGAAAAGGAAAAGGGGGGAAGGAAGGAAAGGGAAGGAGCTGCCCCATTCCACTAGCACCCACAACCTGCAAACTGGAGCTCAGGGGGGCCTGTGGAGCCTTCCCAGCACTGCTTCCCACCCTGGTGAGAAGGCCAGGGAGGAGGAAATGCTGCAGGTTCCAGGGGGCTGGATGGGCAGGGAGGGGGTTGGATGCAAAGCCCTTCCTCAGCCAAGAGCTGAGCAGGGAGAGCAGCTGGAAGAACCCAAAACGAGCCAGAAGGGCCACATTTTGGAAAAGCAAACAAGGGAAAAGTCCAGGGAGGGAAAGGTGATGGAAAACCAGCCCGGATGTGGAGCCGGAGGAAGTTTTTAGCTGGGGAGCAAGAGGCAAGGGGACCTCGCCCTCTCCTTGGAGCTCTTGGCTTGAAGTGGCTCCCAGCAGCTGCCATGTGTTTTCTGGGAGGTTTTGTTTGGAGCAGGAGCCACGTCTGGCTTGTAAAACCTTCAGTCCCTGGGGAATTAACTGAGGCACTGGACAGAGGCCGGGAAATCAGGGTCAGGCTGTCCTTCCCTGAGCAGCAGCAACGCCCTGGGGGAGCTCCTTGAGCCAAACCCACCCTCTGAGTCCCATCACAGCAAGAAACCCTTGGAAAAGCCCCTTTTAGGTGGCATCCAGGTGACAGGAGCACAGGCACCTCACGGCTTTCCCATGGGACCACAACCGGCCGTGTTGCTGGTGACAGGGGAGCGCATCCACTTGTGTAAATCAATATTCAACATGGCAGCAGATCTGTGCCCATAAAACCCATAAACAGTCAAGTTTTGAGGGCTTCTTTTCACCCAGAAGCCTCCACATATCCCTGAACACGGAGGGGAGGCACCTACACCGGGGCTGTGCTGGCTGGACAACACCCAACTGGTGTCCTCCACATCACTGACTCCGAGTTTCCCGTCGATTCTGGGCCTCAACCACCACCCACCATGTGCAGGAGGGACCTGAGGGGGACACTCACTTGCTGAGGGGGACACTTACTTGCTGAGAAGGTGGCTTCAGTGTGGACAGGGGGGGTGGAGGGCAGGAAGGGCGGGTACCCCACGAAGAAGGAGCGCAGGGAGCGCTCGGAGAGGAGCGGCGAGCGCTGGGCGGGGATGTTCTCACAGCTCCCCACGCTGTTGTGGATCTTGAGGTTCAGGGGCTTGTTCTTCTTCTTGACTCTGGAAGGGAGAAGGAGGGGGGAAAAAAAGGAGAGAAAAGTGATTTGGGGGGGTGGGGTGAGGAGAATGGACCGAGGAAGCAGAGCACCTGTAGGATGGGGGAGTTCCTGAGCCACGTCTCTCGTGGGATGATTAAAACCATTTCCATACAAGAACTTCCAAACCTTCTCCCCCACCAAAGCAAAGGGAATTCTCGTTAAGGAACACTCCAGAGCTTTTCATCTTTGCAAAATCTGGCTGAAAAGGGTCGGTTGGTTCAAAAGCCCATCAGCCCCAGCCTCACTGACCTTATCACGTCCCCCAAACCCCCACATGCCACCTGCATTTAATGTCACCTGCATTTAATGCCACCTACATTTAATGCCATCCATTTTAGGGGCCCAAGCAGGAGAACTGAGTCCAAGGAGGGAATGGGCTGCAGTGGAGCATGGGAATCCCAGGAAGCAGGACTGTGGTGTGGACAAGAGCTGAGCACTGGAGATGTCCCTCAGAAATGAAATGCTGCAGAGCGAGGGGGGTGACGCACCCACCTCTCACTCATCAGCCCAGTTTTCCACCTGCCTTGTGCTGTGACAAGGACCAGCCACCCCTGCCCGGCTCAGATGGACCCAGAGGGGTTGGGATGTGGGTTCCTGGCCCTGCAGAGCCTCCCCTGGCTCAGCTGCTCCCATCCCAATGGGGCAGGGAGGAGATCCCAAAACAGCCCCTGGGAAAGGCAGCTCAGCCCTTCTGGAGACCTGTGGGATTTGGGGCTGAGATCCTTGGAGCACAGAGTGGGTAACAGCTCATGGTCACTGAGAACTCCTGGATTACTCCATAGATCCATACATGCTCCATGAAATACTCCATACATTCCCAGCTGGAGCACTGCTTCCAGCCCTGGGGAACAGCACAGGGAGCACGTGGAGCTGCTGGAGAGAGGCCAGAGGAGGCCACGGAGATGCTCCCAGGGCTGGAGCCCCTCTGCTCTGGAGCCAGGCTGGGACAGCTGGGGGGGTTCACCTGGAGCAGAGAAGGCTCCAGGGAGACCTGAAAGCCCCTTGCAGGGCCTAAAGGGGCTCCAGGAGAGCTGGAGAGGGACTGGGGACAAGGCATGGAGGGACAGGACACAGGGAATGGCTTCCCACTGGTTTAGATGGGATACTGGGAAGGAATTGTTGGCTGTGAGGGTGGAGCAGGCCCTGGCCCAGGTTGTCCAGAGAAGCTGTGGCTGCCCCTGGATCCCTGGAAGTGTCCAAGGCCAGGTTGGAGCAACCTGGGCTAGTGGGAGGTGTCTCTGCCCACATCCCTGCCTTCCTTATGTCCAAGAGCTGCTCTCCTGCCCATGGATCCACAGGTCCATCTCTCCAGCACCTTGGAACAGAGATGCCCCAGAGCCCAGACACTCATTCCCATCCCTGGCTGAGCCATCCTTCCCACAGCTCTGGCTCTGGGCCCCCAGCAGTGCCCGAGGGCATCTGGCCCTGCCAGGCAGTGGGAAATGGCCACTTAAGCAGAAGAAAATTAAACTGTCCTCTAATAAGTTAATTATTTCCTCACACAGGAAAAGCTGCTGCTGTGTTTGGGGTGGCTGCAACCACTTCTGTGGGTGTGCTGGGCTCGGGATGGGGCGGATGATTCCCTCCAGGTGCTCCCACTGAACAGCCCTCCTGGCTTGGAACACCCTGGGGTCTGACACATCAGCAGCCCCCCAGCTGATGTTCATGGAGTCATGGGATGGTTTGGCTTGGAAGGGACCTTAAAGATGATCTCATTCCACCCCCTGCCATGGGCAGGGACACCTTCCACTAGCACAGGTTGCTCCAAGCCCTGTCCAACCTGACCTTGGACACTTCCAGGGATCCAGGGGCAGCCACAGCTTCTCTGGGCAACCTGGGCCAGGGCCTCACCACCCTCACAGCCAGGAATTCCTTCCTAGTATCCCATCTAAACCAGTGGGAAGCCATTCCCTGTGTCCTGTCCCTCCATCCCTTGTCCCCAGTCCCTCTCCAGCTCTCCTGGAGCCCCTTTAGGCCCTGCAAGGGGCTCTCAGGTCTCCCTGGATCCCTCTCTTCTCCAGGCTCACAAATACCCTTCACATCCATGCCGTGGTTCCTGCAGGACCCCGAGGCAGCAGCAGCCCCTGCTCTGAGCACCTCAATTCCCTCCCAACATCCCACCTAACCCCGCTGGTGCTCCTAAAGCTGGATCACCCCTTCCACCACCACCACCACCACCATCATTCAATGCCAACCCAGAGATACAACCCCAACAGGTCCACCCAACCCAACCAACTCCCAGAGCAGCTCCCCTGACCCCGGGCACGGCCCCACCGTCCCCCCTCCCTGAGCTCTTCCTGATTAACCACTAATCTCATTTTTTTTTTGTTTGGTTTTGTTTGTTTTTCCACCCATAAATCAGTTCCAGACCAAATATTTACTGTGTGAGCATCATTTCCTCACTGAGCAGGGCCGGTGACAGCTCCCATTAGGAGGAAGGATGAGTGATTTTGGACAGGGAGAGATTTTTCTCTCTCTGTTTCTTCAGGGGAGGGGGGAGAAAAAATTACATTAATGAACACACACTAACACCGAGAGCCAACAGAGTGAGCAGCGAGGGCTGGCTGCCTGTCTCCTGATCCCCCAAAAACAAAGGGGGAGCAGGGAATCCTGAGAGCTAAATAAATCCCAGGGAGGAGCAGGATGAGCATCCTCACCCCTGGAAAACCCCGGGGGATCCTGCTACAAGGGGACTCAGGGAATCTGGGGGCTTTTGGGAGGGATTAAAGAGGTTTCCGGGGCAATTAAGGTGTTTGAGGGGGATTTGGGGAGGTTTGGGGGCACTCAGATGAGGGTTTAGGGGTGGCTAGGGGGGACTTGGGGGAGCCCAAAAGCTTTTAGGGGGGATTTTCGGGAGACTAAAGGGGTTTTGGGGGTGAGTTTGGGGGGGTTGAAGGGAATGGGGAGGGCATTTGTAAGCATTTGGTTGGGATCTTGGGGATTCCACAAGCGGGACGGGCTCAGCCCCTGCCCCGCAAACCTCTCTTAAAATTCCCGGTTCTCAGCCCTTCCCACCTCAGGAGCTGCTCCTAAACCAGCTCCCCGCACCTTCCACCGTTCCCAAAACCTCCTGCACAGCCAAAAAATGCGCATTTCCCCCCCTTTATCCCGCCCATCTCTCGGCGGGCACGCCAAACACCCCATCCCCCGCCAAGCCACCCCCTAGGGCTAATTTATTTCTGCCACGGGACAAATCGGTGCCACCTGAATGCCAGCAACAAATCGGGCCGTCATTTCACGCAAGAATTTGTTTAAATAGATGGTGATGGGTTTAAAAAAAAAAAAAAAAAAAAAGCCCAGCGAGTTTGAAGCGCTCCATGCAAATCCCTTTAGGTGTCATTCCAGCCTGAATGGCTCGTTCCCGGCTGTTGGCTGGGATCAGTCAAACGCTTATCAGCGGCCCCCGGAAAAAAAAAAAAAAAAGAAAAGAAATAAAAATAGAGGGTTTCGAGAGGCGGTGAAAAACAGGAGCAGACACCGGGACAAAGGGCTCGTCACTCCTTTCAGCGCCGGAGAGCATCTACGTGCCTGGAAGGGGAGCGGGAAGCAAGGATTGACGGGGATGGAGGGGTGGAATAAACCCCGTGGGTGCCGCAGGGGCTCCGGTGGGAAGATGGGTGGTGGGTGAGGACGCGCCGAGTTTGGGATGGGGTGTGGCCCGGGCGGGTTCACAGCTGGAAGGGCAGGATGTGCTGGGAAAGGAAGGCACGTTCCCAGCTGGAATGCTGGGGATGGACGCAGCGGGATCCGTGCGTTACAGGGAGAGGGGATTCAACGGGGATGCTCCTGGTTTGGTGGCTCTGCCGTGCTCATCCCAAAAGGGGACACACCCCCCGGGGCCCTGCACCCCTCACTCCCTGCCCAGCTCTTCAAAAAAAGATGAAAATGGGGTAAATAACTATTTTCTCTGCAGGCGTTTGCTGTCACTTGCACTCTTATTGTCATTAAAAAAAAAAAAAAAAATTAACAGAGGTTTAATTTACATTTGCATTCAAATTAAAGGAGGTTTACCTCCCAAACTGAGCCAAAAGGAGGGGAGCTGACCCTGCACTGAGCGAGCCAGGCTGTGTTTTATTCACCACTTCACTCCAACACGCTCCAGTTTCTCTTCAAGGAAGGGAAAGGGAGTGAAGGTGGTGGTGGGGAAAATCCTCTTCTCGGTATTTCACTGTAAAGGATTAAAGATCCTGCCTGGCCTGGAGCGCAGGGCCTCGGCCAGGATTCAGCCCAGCAGATTTATGGCTTTTGGACCCACTTAATTGCCCAATATTCTGTATGAAAGTCAGAGCAAGGAGCAGGTGAAGCTTCCCCTGTGCCTCAGGAGCTCAGCCACAACGAGCAGCAGCTCCAGCCTGAGCCACGAGGGGCTGTGAGCAGAGGCAAAAAAAGGGGAAACCCCCAGTTTACGCATGGAATTTTGAATGCAAGAATCATGGGATGGTTTGGGTTGGAAGGGACTTTATAGGTGATCTGATTCCACCCCCCTGCCACGGGCAGGGACACCTTCCACCAGCCCAGGGTGCTCCAACCTGGCCTTGGACACTTCCAGGGATCCAGGGGCAGCCACAGCTTCTCTGGGCAACCTGGGCCAGGGCCTGCACTGCCCTCACAGCCAACAATTCCTTCCCAATATCCCATCTCTCCCTTCCCTCTGCCAGTGGGAAGCCATTCCCTGTGTCCTGTCCCTCCATGCCTTGTCCCAGGTCCCTCTCCCAAAGAAGAGCTCTCAGTTCTCCCTTCCTCTTGGCTTCCCATGTTGGCAAAATCTGACTCTTCTCTTCAGGAAGTCTCAAATAAACCACAAAGCCCCAGTGGCTTCCCTGGCCAAGCAGCCTGAGCCTCCCCAAACCGGCTTGGGGAGCTTGGCCCCAAACTCTGGAGCCATCCCAGCCAGAAAAGGTCTTGGGATGGGAAAACCCCTCAGTGGGTGCACCCACAGGGCATTCCAGGGCTGAACCGGTG